AAAAGTTAATAGACCACAGATGATTTGTCAAATGCTATGCTTAGTTAAATGTGTCGACAATATTTAATACTATTGTACCGCATGAATCATTTCTTCGGAACTACACAACTACACAACTGCGAATTCGTTATAGGGTTCATTTCTATTTCACTAGTGGATCTTAACTTGTGTTTCAGAGGTAAAGGACTCCGGATGTTCGAATCCCCAGAAGATGAGGAACCGTTACGGAAGACTTTCGTCTATGAATTTCGGCGAGATGGGATATTACAACAACGATGCATACTGTGAATGGAAAATCACGGTCCCCGAAGATGAGGTATGACGTCATCATTTACAGACGATTGATTTTAAAGGCACTGTTTTATTACAATTTGATTTACATACTGAGCTGTTGTGGATTTGTTTTTTTCCGGCACTGGAATAATGTTCTAAATACCATGCGTGCAACGTTTAAGGCCTGTAATATTAGATACTTGTAATGCGGTATCAATAATTTGGAATATGGTTATCATATCCACATTGATCAATTAACAGTCGTAATTTGAATATTGTGCTATCAATCCTTAAATTGCAGATCATTGAGTTTAATTTCGAAAGCGTTTCCATGGAATCGTGTTGTGATTTAGTAGAAATCTACGACGGAATTGACGACAAGACTTCACTTCTGGATATCGTCAGTGGAGAATGTGCGCCCCCACCGATCGTCTCAACAACCAATATTCTGTTTGTTCGTTTCTACACAAATGCTCACGTTATTTATCACGGTTTCAAAGCAACATACAAAGCATCTCGTAAGTATTTGTTTGTCATAGCATTGTCTGGCAACCCACAGCCGGCATGAACACTACCAAGCCTTTGTGCACTTCTTCGGCTTTGACTTAAGGATGCATTAAATTACACAAAAATTGCACTACATTAATCTTGAATGGAGAAATTGTTCACTCTCGAATAGCGAGTCAATACAATAATGCATTATATTTTAAGTTCAGTCAAACTCGCACAAACGCGTTTCAGGCGTATTCTTTTTCAATAATATGAACAAAACGCAATGTTGCTGTAATTATGTTTTCCTTTCCTATTAATATCTATAATTAAGAAATGATACATTGTACTGAACAATTACCAAAGATACTTACTACCACTTTGTGGTGATTGTTTTTGTTATAAATGATTCTTTCCCGATGGAATATTTTCAAACTATCCTGCAACCCCTCTCGGTTTCTAATGGCCAATCCCAATCCAATTACTTTATTTTTCTTTTCTTCTAGCGAAACCAAAGTATGAACAATCTGGATGTGGTGGTCCACGGGAATTGACGGACGAAAGTGGCACTATTACAAGCGCAGATTACGGAAATGGACATTATCCAAATGAATTGTATTGCAATTGGTTTATTTCGGCTAAGCCTGGAAAGGTAGCATAATTTGTCTTTCTAGTTTGCCCGCGCTTTCCGGAGATGGCACTAATATCCACCTATTGTGGCGCGTTACGTGGCTTTGGACATGTGCGCGATAGATATACTAGAGAAATTTTGTGGTGTTTTTTGCACAAAAATCGTCACAAGATGTTAAATATTTCATCGAAATCCAAAAATGAGAAGTATTTCTTGCGCTTGTACCAATATGCATTTCAACTCGTATAACACTATACTTTGTCCAAAACGTCTGGTTATATTGAATTACCAAAGACTAAGATTGCCTACCAACATTTTCTATGTATTTATCCGATCAGTTTCACCAGATTATAAAAATGTTTATTCACATCACGAAACAAAGTTTTCACCCGATCTTCAAGTTTGTTGATTCAAAGAATTTCATTCGACTTTTGTACAGTTTGCGTTGATGAATTGAGCTATAGTGGTGGGTCCCATGCCGCAGCGCGTAAAATGCATAGTTTGTTTATACGAATAATGTAATGCACATTTAATTTCAGGTTGTGGATCTGAAAATCCTGGACTTGTTCACAGAGAGTTGTTGTGACATTTTGTACATATATGATGGCCCGGATGCGAGCTCTCCGTTAGTTGGACAATACAGCGGAGATGAACACTTGGAGATTCATTTGACCTCATCACAGGAAATCCTCAGCGTGTTTTTCAACAGTGACCACAATGTCTCGTTTGACGGCTTCCTTCTCTCCTACAAACAAGTGTAATGTAAGTTTGCAACGTTTCAGATTGTCGTATAGACAGAGTATAAAATCAACAGTCAAACCTATTTTATGACCTTCATTGGAGAAGTGTATCGAACTGAATTATGAAATTGACATTGCCTGACAAACTTGTTCTATGTCTATTACAATCTACTAGTCCAGCTAGTAAGCTAAGCGATCCTGTACAATAACAATGGTCACGAAAAATGACGTGGTCACTTCAATTAAATTTTAATTTAATATTCAACCCTTCAAGTAACTTCAAAATGTACATTTATTTTACAGATTAAGATTTCATCAGTTCCTGAAATTACAGATTCAAGATTTGACTGTGTCGTTAATATTGTCGTGTGCATTCGGAATAGTATTGGATTAATAGTTTATTTATAAATAGTATTTTAAGTAATTGTGTAATTATAATTTGAGAATGAATAGTATATAATTATTTATAGTTTTGTTTTCGCGTCTTTATTGTCGGTTCTCTCCGTGCCACGTCGTATATGGTATAAGAGACTTTTGCGACGTGTACAACGCGTGCAAGACTGGAAAGCGCGCTCCACGTCAACTGACCTTTCGAATGCCTACTTAAAGCGGGGGAAGTAGTCACCTGCGCATACGTCAGATGGTCATAGCGTGTCATTTTTTACAAACGAGCGTTTACCCATGAGCCTCGCGTTTTTAGCGCGTGTTATCGTCACTTGGGACTCGATTGGCGCGCGTGCGCAGGTGACTCCCCTCCTGCTTTAAGTTGCAAATAGAATAGGCTGTGGTTTACATGTATTGATACGCAATGTGCGAATGCAGTGAACTTTTCGGATTCTGTTTGTTTGTCTGAGCTTTGCATGTTGAAATTGTTGCTTGGTGAACCTCCATTACTTGTTCGCGAGGTTAATGTGAAAACTAATGCCCCGGCCTCGATGCTAGTTTTGACCATATGTTGTATATACCCCTTGTTTGCTGTGGTAGTCGGTTATCAATGGTTAAATCTGTTAAAAATTCGATAACTCAATTTTTACCGGCACATTTGTGAAATCAATGTACATGTAGGTAGCTTCTGGTTACTATCGGTCGCAATAACTTGGGCAAACGTACGTTGTGCAAATTGCGTCCAAGTCTCTCATCTGCAGCCAGTCGAAGCGTGTTGCAGGCTACTTACGAAATGGCCTATTTCAGGAGGTTGTTTCAGTTTTGCTCTAATCGGATGTCAAATTAAATGTGTGCGCGCAAACATCCTTTAAGGCTGGGTACTTGCCAATATTAAAAAAAATGCAAGAGACTATCGTTTTAAGTAACTCCCTCGTTCAGGAAAATGTCCAAAATTTGCCCACCCTTCGCCCCGTCTATATAAATCATAAACAAGTTTGCAACACAAGTTTTTTCAGAAAGTTGTATTTTAGTGAATAGCGAGCAGTTGGTCAGTACTAGTGCATAGTACGTTTACCATTGGATAAATCTGAAAAATCCCTCGCCATGCATTTTATTGTCAACATCGCCCTCTAAACTCTAAAATTCGTCTCCCAATCGCTAGGCGGCCTTGCGCGTTCATGTACATATTATCGATCTGTTTATTTGAAGTCGCTCACGTCAGTTAAGTCAATTGCAATTCTGTTGACTCGCGACAAACTGCGAAGGAGATGACTATTTTTGGGAATGCACTTCTGGGGATATCATTAGTTTATTTGAAATAAAACTGGTTTTATTACCAAGGAACGTCTTGGAGATGCTGTGGCCAAATTAAAGATTGGGTCATCTGCGCGCTTTATTTTAAAAATTATTTTTTTTAATTTTTTTCTTAGTGACGTTGGATAAAAGTATTACATGAATTTAGTGTGGGAATTGTATAAAATCGAATGTTCTAGCTCTTAATTGTATTTCAAATAACAGTCTCGAGAAAATGGCTGAACCGAATGGTATAAAATTTCCCATGCTGGATCTTAATGAGACTTTTAGATTTATTAGGATATAGGCTAATTATTTCACGAATAAAAAGTCGTGGTCACGCGACTTTTCAGACTATTTTTGTTTCTTAAAATGTCTAAACGTGCCTAATGATATTCAGACTCGGACAATTGAACGTGAAAGTTGTTTTAAAGCATAGTGTCATTGTTTACCAACATGCGTCTAACCATGAGACTTTGCGTTTTTAGAGTGTTATCGTCGCCGGGAACTGGATTCCCGCGCGTGCGCAGGTGACCACCCTCTTGCTTTAACATATGTATAAAGATAATCTTTGGGGGTTAGTCGGGCGTTTGGCTTCCATATTGGATTTTCAGCAGAAATGGTCGAAACTTGAGGTCTCGTGAATGCTTTAATCGACCAACTTGTTTTGTATATATGATAAAATGATGTAAGCCAGTAGGAACGTATTGGATCAGACGAAGCTGCTTTGAGATCGTCGCATTGATTTGACAGAACATGATCACGTGGCTGTCGATAAAACTCGTTGAGTCTATATAAACCCAGAGTTACTGGGAAATCAAGGTTGTCATCACGTATTACAGCGTATGACAAGGTGGGAGTGTGTACAAATCCTCGGCAGTCACTGGCTTGTTAGCTGTTGTATATATCTGGGAGCGTCGCTTATGTGTGGACTTAGAATACGAAGACGCCGTTCAGTACCAATGTTGTGAAACCCATTGATTGTGCGGTTGCACTTAACGTAATTTCAATCGATTTCAATGACGCATGCGTTGTCAAATACGGATAGAGTCCGAATTGTTAATAGAAAGCATTTAGTATGAAACTCCTGTATTCGGTCTTGACCCTCGTTCTGTCTATTGTGGTTATTTGAAGACTATAAAGCTCTTTCTATCGTACTAAACTGTTCCCCAAATTTAACAACTACTTTCGTTTTACAATGAAATCTAAATGAACTGCGTTAAGCCGAAAGTTTTCGATAGTATACAACTCAACTAGTAGCTGTTCTCTAGGCTCCATGCGTCTAGAATTCGTTTTGTGAACGCATATAGTTTACAAAACGGGCGCCTGCAACGAAGTACAACCTTCGATTTATGTTAATTTGGTATAACAAAACTGTTGCATTAGTATGTCTGTTTAGTAACCCTTTACGGCTTCTCCTAGATCAATTATTTTTTTTGGGGTCATTACAACTGAATTTACCTTTCCGTTTTTATTTATTTGAAAAGCAACAAGTCTACGTTCAATGCATGCTAACGCGTATCTGTGACAATATTTCATTTCAAAATATGTCTGCACTGTCAATTGGCGTAAAATGAAAATTTAGCAGAATTTTCCCCATAGTCCACAAAATCTCGTTATTACAAATCCACTAAAAATAATTTATAGTAATGCTTCTAAACTTGAATCTTGCATTTTTACTATTTTACAGGAAAAATGAGATGTACATTCATTTGGCGTGCGAATCAATGGTGAATGATTATTAAACACCATTTTTCACTACATTAAGTTAAATACGGCGACCTGAGATTTCTAGTTTGCCACTGCAAAATGAAAACTCTAAATGCATTGCAAGTGTAATGTAACATAATGGGTGTAGCAGTGTCGTGCATCCAACACTTTTATACATGACGAATCGTGACTGTAGATTTGTATCATTTTGAAACCCTTAGATTGTATTTAAAACTGGTTTTCAGCCTTGTAACGTTCGTCACGTATGTGAATTTAAAGTAAACTGCACTTTTATTTTTATTTTTTTTGAGTATAGTTTTTTGTGAATGGTTACTAATTTGGAATATTTACGTCATACCAAGATTCTGGTCGTATTTACTTTGCTTATTCTTGCAGAAACCACCATTTAAATATTGCATATGATTGTATTGTAGCAAACTAGTGATGCGTATGCAGACTGTAGATGCGATTGAGCGTGAAGTCAATTCCGGGGAAATGTGTCTCTTGAAACCTAGCGTTTTCTGAATGTTATTATTGATTAAAAAATGGTGTGAATAAAACTACATTCATGTACAAATATAAACTGTATTTAAGGTAGAGATGCATGTTCTTGGGCACTTAGGAGTGAAATGTGTTTTTTTGCTTTTTATTATCCAGTCTTGGCTATAGACTGTTAAAATTTTGTAGAATTGTGAATAGTGGAACATGCTCGGAAAAAACTACTTTACAATATAGATAACGGGTGCAAACATTCTCTTTTGAATGCTTGGCAAGATTTAGCAAGGCTGTACATAAATAAGAGAAACATGATGAAAAAAAGAAATGACGGGATCTCCATATTATGCACTATATTTAATCTTTTAACAATACATTACATTTGAAACTGTTACAGCCATTTTAATTATGAGCATTAACAAACTTCTTGCCGAGTGAATTGTTATGCAAATTAGCTTCTTTTTAGTGCACATCCAAGAACTTTACAAACTTTTGTTTTGAAATTTTCACAAATGATTGACAATGCGTTTATCTTCAAAACTCCGTCGGGGCATTGTTTTTGGTTGAACAGTGTTACAACAATCGTACAGACTACTAGCCTAGGTGTTGATTTATGCATAAACTTGAAGTAGTGAAATTTGAGCTGCTACCCTGCAAAAATGACAACTGGCAGACAGTTTTCAAGACGGCACTTTCTTCATAGTAAAGAGATGTACCCATAAACCAATTTTGAAAGGAAACGAAAAGCATAGTTTAGAAGCATTTTCTTAAATCACTTGCTAGTATGACCAAAAAAAGCACATTTTTGTGAATATTTCAAACTAGTGTCCATAACAAAAATACTAACAATTTTAAAATTCATACAATAAGCTTTCCGAAAATGTAGTTTTGTGGACAAGGGAGGTCATCTTGGTTTTCTAATTAACTAATTAAAATACCTGTCAGATAAACTGCATCTCCACCTTAAGCAAAGATGATTAGACTGGATATCATTAAAACAAATTATCGGATTTCCTTGACATTTACACTACGCTTTTATTCCAAGTTGTTCACAAAACAGATCAAAAATATACTGCTGCTGCTACCAAAGTAAGTACACAAAACGTGTATACTGATTAAAATGGATGGATTAAGTCGGGGTAACAGTTGATGCGATGGCAGATTGGGACGATTCGAATAGAAGACATCAACCTAAAATACAACCAAGCCATTTGAGTATTCTATTACTATCAACTCGTTGGGAAGGTACAAATTGTATGACTATTATAATTTAATGTCAGTTCGTCCGTCATTTGATTATAAAATACTCGTAATGTTAAAGCAGTACATGGAATATCTGCATTCAGGTGAATAAACCATAAAGTGATTTCCCATAATCTTGTATTGAACCGAGAAGTGAATACATTGTCCAGAAATCCAAACAAATGCTCCAAACACTGCATTCATAAATCTGAGTGAACCTTGATGTACCTTTAATATTTTCATTGACTCCTGTTTAATTCAAGTCTTAGTATATCAACAAGTCTTTAAATATCGCCACTGAACAACAAATTCAATCTCGTATTGTAAAAAATACCATTTAGTAAT